ATTATTAGCAATACTCTACCGAAGTCTGATTTCTTCTTAAAAAATGCGTTTCTAAAGTGCATAAACTTTTGGGATTGATTGTATAGCCAATACATCCTTAAGAATGAAAGACGCGCGGTTGTAAATCGCGATCATCGGACAAGCCAAGGGTCCAGCAATTAGGATTGATCCACTAATCTCTATAAAACACTGGATAGTCGATGTATACTAATGATAATAGCCCCAATTCATATAACATTTCATATTTTCAATTGGGACCATTTTCGTAACGAGCCAATCGACTATTCAGTGTTCTATAGAGATCCATGGGACTTACCGTCGTACATGATGGGTACACCAGTCTCGTAATAAACGAGCGCCGGAAAAGAGAAGACGCCAATCTCGGCGGCTAATTTCGCGTCGTTTGACTTAACGAATTGAATACCGTGCTTGTCGGTATCATCGTCGATGGTCTCTAGTTCCTCGAGAATCTCCGGGCACGTTTCGCATTTGTCGTCGTCTATTAAAGAAAAGTATCTTATTTTTTATAGAAATCATTTTACGATAGAAATGATGGATGTCCATTACAACAGACGTAAAACCAAGGCATTTCGGTTAATGATTAATACAATGAATTATACTTCGTTAAACTGGAAATATTATATTCGTCAAACTTACAAAAGAATACGGCGAGGTGTTCGACGTCGTTGATCAACACCTGCAGAGTCTTCCGGTCTACGCTCTCGATCACGTCAGGCGTTTGCGTTCGTAAATCGAGGATCCAATCCAGGATCGCCTCCTCGTGCATCATGTCGCCGCTGTAAACCTGACGAAATTTGTGCCTGTAGAAGGCCAACGCCGGCAGACCCGGGAGATCGTACTCCTTCTCGATTCCCTCGTCGGAGATCTTTACGAAATCGATGTCCTTCTCCTCGCACTCGTCGTCGATGTTTTCAAGCTCTTGAAGAATCTTCTGGCTCTTTTTATCACCCTCTTTGTCTGCAAACGAATCCGTATTTCTTTAAGTGACACCAGTTTGTCTGCCGTTAACGTCGTTTTAAACGCTGTATTTGGTGTTCAACAAATGCGAACTCACAGAAAAAAATCACGATGTAGTCGTTCTCGTCAAGAATGTTCTCCAGCATTTTTGAATTCACTTCTTCGATTTTCCCAGGAATCTCGAGGGTGTCCTCGTCGATGATCCAAGAGAGGACCTCGTCCTCGTCATCGAGGTCGCCCTTAAATATTAACGGCTCTTTGTTTCGGAAGAAGGCCAGCGTCGGGAAGCTCTTGATTCCGTGTTTCTTCGCGAATGCCGTGTCCTCCGTAGTGACGAAGATGATACCGGTCTCATCTAATTCGTCGTCGATATTCTCGAGCTCTTCCAGTATTTTATCGCATTCGTCGCCATCGTCACAGTCTCCACCTAGTAAGAAAGATTTTTATTAAAGATTAAGATTTTTATTAAATATGAATGCTAGAAGAGAATTTGACTTTGAATTTAAATATATATACTTACTGAAGAACGCGACGACGTATTCGTGTTCTTCGATCAAGTCGACCAAAATCTCATCGGTGACTTCCTCGATGGTGGCGGAGTTCTTCTGCTCGATGAGCCACTCGAGCACCTCGTCCTCGTTCAAGAGATCGCCCTCGTATATCGCGGGTATCTTGCTCTCGAAGTAGACCAGAGTCGGGAGATGATCGATACCGTACTCCTTCGCCTCGGCGTCGTTGTCCATGCGTATGATCACGATACCCTCCTTCTCCAGCTCGTCGTCGATGTTCTCCAGCTCGTTCAGGATCCGTATGTCCTGCTTGTCGTCCTTGTCGTCTACGGAAATGAATCAATTCGTGTCTCGTTTTCGCCCCCGATCGATCAACAGCACCTACCTAACCGGTAACAGTGGAAGAATGTTAAAAGGAGGTAGAAAGACGAATCGATCGCTTACAAAACAGGACGGCCAAGTACGGCGAGGTCTCAATCAGCTTCTCCATCATCTCGTCCGTCACCTCCGGTATCTCCGTGTGCTTCTTCTGATGCAGTAGCCATCCGAGCAGCTGATCCTCGTTCATCAGATCCCCTGATAAAATCGACAGTACCTCCCGGTTAGTTCTTTTGAAATTTCGTTGCATCTAGTAGAAGAAGTATTTGATCGAGATACCTTCGTACACGTGCGGTATCCTTCTCTCGAAGAGTACCAGCGTGGGAAGAGTGTCGATTCCGTACTCCTTGGCCTCGTCCAAGTCAGAAATCTTGACGAACGCTATGTTGTGACTATCGCAATCGTCGTCGATGTTCTCCAGCTCGCTGAGGATCTTCTGACTCTTCTTCTGATCCTTGTCATCTGTTACAAAAAAAACTTGTGATGATCCCGTGCAACGGGTGACGCTGACTACTAGTTTCTTAAATGATTCGATGGTACGTAAATAAATAGCGAAATAAAAAGAACTTAATCACTGACAAAAGAGGACGGCTACGTGAGGCATCTTCTCGATGACCATGTCGAGCATCTCGTCGGTGATATCCTCGATGTGATCACTTTTCTGTTGTTGCTCTAACCATTTCAAAACTTTCTCCTCGTCCTCCAAGTTCCCCTCGTAGAGCGTCGGTATCCCCTTCTCGAAATAGAGCATGCTGGGTATCTTCTCGATGCCGTACTCCTTCGCCTCCTCCGCGTTGTCGATCTTTACGAAGGTCACTCCTAACTGATCACACTCGTCGTCGATGTTCTCCAGCTCGTTCAGAATCTTCTGCGATTTCCGATCGTTGTTGTCGTCTGACAACCATCCGTAATCATAAGTCGTGATACTATAAAAATCCGGAGTGTCTTAATGAATACTTACAAAAGAGTACTGCAAGAGTCTTTCCATCCTTGATCAGACGGTCTAACATCTCGTCGGTGACGTCTTCGATTTCATCTTTTTCCAACTGAGACAGCAGCCACTCCAGAATTTCATCCTCGTTCTCCACGTCACCTATAGTCATCCGATTTCATTTGATCCAAACCCAGAATCCAAATATCAGCTTCTTTTCTCTACCTACTTACCATCATAGACATTCGGAATTTGCTTTTCGAAATAGACGATCACCGGTACTGAATCGATCCCGAAGTCCTTCGCGGCCTTCTCGTCGTCGATCTTGACGAACTGGATCCCATGTTTGTCACAGTCGTCGTCGATCTTCTCCAGCTCGGTCAGAACCTGCATCGAATCCTCGTCGCCGTGATTGTCTAAAGGATTAATGAAACAATGTTTAACCGCAGTCGAGCGACCCGATCGAGATTAATAGAAATGTATGTACAGAATAACACGACCAGGTTGTCGATATTCCCGATCAGAGTTTGTAGAGTCTTCGCCGTTACATCCTCGATCACGTCCTCTTCGTCTCCCGTGCTCTTGTTCGCTATTAGCCACTCCAGCACGTCCTCCTCTCTGCTGAGCTCCTCTACAATTTTTCACCGATCAGACAAAGCCCTATTCTCTTTCAAAGATTGCAGACGTATATAAGATTGTATTCCTAAATCTCTAGTATAAAATTCGTTCTTCTACGCATGATAATACTTACGTTCGTAGATAATAGGTATCTGATGCCTGTAGTAGACCAGCTTGGGAAGAGTGCCTAGATTGTATTCATCGGCGAGCTGTTCATCCGCGATCTTCACGAAACCGATACCCAACTGATCGGCCTCGTCGTCGATGTTCTCCAACTCTTGAAGGGCCTTCAGACACTTTTTGCAGTCAGGCTTGTCTGTCCCATTTAAAATAAAACACGATGTTATTCGAATTTCGCGTATTCTAAATCCGTTTCGGGCAAAGACCGGGTTAAAATCCTTGAAGTATCCAAGTTGGTCGTACTTTAGGTGACAAAATACTTTTACATTATACTTTCATAGAGGAGCTTCTTCTCGGATTAGTATAAAAAATTCCTCTCAGTTATAATACGCATTCCTTCTATTCTAGGGGGGTTCGGGGAAACGCACATACTAAATATATTTAAATGTTTCCGGGGCAAAAAATTAGTACATAATTGAATACTCCGTTTTGTTCGCTTATAATTGGGAAATATGTTGTACTTTTCCAACAGAGATTCTCTTACTTCATTGTCACCTTCTTATTTCAATCCTTTTTTTTATTACACTAATCAGATAGAAAGATAGTTGCTGAAAGTAATGCAGTGTACTTGAAAGTAAGAGTCGATTGTTAACTATGTTGATTGGAAGTGTAGTCACGTACATGGAAACATATAATCAAGCATCAATTGCGAGCCATTGTATTTAAGAGAATACTTTATTTTCCATTATACAGTCTTGTAAAAATATTAATTGAAAAATGTCTGTTTCTTAAATATAATGGCTCACATATTGAACAGAGGGCAAAGCATTGCAAACCAAATTACTGTGCTGAGTTGAAATGTGTACTTACTAGAACCGGCGCCAGCACACCGCTGCGTATCCGGACCTATCCATACCAACACACACAAGAACGTTTCACATATATGTATTATTTACAAGTATGTTGTAAGTGTTCGAATCGCAAAGTGGAAGCAATTTTTATACTTCCTTAACGAGAGACTCGATAAGGTCAGGCACAGACTTTGCCACGGTAAATCCATTTTGCGATGCGTTAATTGTATCACAACAGACGATTACGATTTACTGCAGAAAAAAGACGAATACCAATGAAGGGGGGCGGGGTAGTAGGGGGATGTTCACTGCGCTCTTTTGAACGAAGAAAAATTTTCATCGAACCGATTCGAAGCGTCCTTGAAAATCGTTCTTCTCGTTCAAAGTTAAACGGAGCGTTAAGGCCGGACGGGAGCCGGGATAAAGATGAGAGGATCGATAAAGTATCTACAGAAGTAACTGTGTAACGATCCCGATACCGATCTCGGTATCATTGCGTGATAAAAAATACTCGCACATCAGTGAAAATAAAACCAAAGAAACGTTGCTTGTAACACGACGTGTTAATGCGACCGAGTTTCTGCTGGAATCTCTGGTAGAAAGCTCTGTTAATGTGTCTGCACAGATGTATTAGTGAGACAACAAAATAATAATAATTAAAGTGTCGCATATATATGTATTATGTACAAGAATCGTTTCGATCGAACGTACACGAACGTGTGTTTCAGATATATTTACAACGTGTATGTACATAGCTGGTATCGAATGTCTTTTCTGAATGTCTCCTCTTTCGAAGAATTCATTTTATTTCCTTTACCTTCGAGACGATTTTACTCTAAAGTGGTGCTTTTGGGGGAGAGAAGAAACTTAAGTAGAAGGTAGTTTTGGAATTGATCAGAGAGAGAACTCACAGAAGAGGACTGCCACGAATTCGGTGTCCTCGACGATCTTTTCCAAGATCTTCGAGTTCACTTCTTCGATACGATCGGGCAGGTCCATCGCTTCCAGACTCGTCAGGAAGTCCAGAACTTCTTCTTCGTCCATCAAGTCACCTGCAATAATTGCAAAGCCATACAGTCTCTGTCCAATCACGATTGAGAAACAGAGCTAGTCCTCAACGTGATCTATTTATTATTAAATAACTTCTACAGTCACGTCTAATTAAAGTTGCTTAATAGGCGATGGTACAGTCGTCCCTGTACCAATTCTACGCCTTCTACATGCGTACAACTTTAATGTACATATCGTTCGATCGCGACTTCCTGTCGCATCTATTTAACATCCCGAGCCGTCGAAAATAGCCCCTGTTGCATTAGCTACAATGGAAATAGATGCGAGTTGTCGTTACATCATCGAACGGAAAATCAGCCGAAGCTGTTCGACGAGTGAAAGTTAATTCTATCGTTTTCTTTTTTACTCCACCGAGCACTGGGTCTCGGAAGATCGGATTAATAAATTCGCAGCGATCGCGTTGCCAGTTTTACTGGCCACAATGTGGCGCGATTGATGATCACACCTGTACTCGGTTCGCTTCCGCGTTGCCCGTCCAACTGCGTCCGATCTCTAAATTTCTTTCGTCAATTTCATTGCCGCGTCTCCTCCCGTTCTCTCTTATAATTTTCATTTCGCGTCTACCCAAGCAGAATTGAATCGTGGAAAAGGTGCAGCGATCTCGTCGGATCTAAATACAGAGAATCAGAGCGGCGATCGATTTCAATGAAACTGCGAACTGTTACGTAAGACATTCCTTCTACCCTATTAATTTCCGTCGTCGCGTCGCGTCGCGGCGGTCCGTTCTCGTGTCAGTGGCCGTCAGCCGACGATCGCGTCGCGGCGTCCGCGGTTTCGCTCAACAGTCGGGGGTGGTGTATGTCGGACAAAAGTCGGACACACGACCGTCACTGTTCTACAGGCTGACCGAACGAAATACCAACGGCTGGGACCCGTGCCAGATCGCGAAGGTGGTCCGACCGGTGCAACGTGTAACGAAAATCCGAGACCAGCCGCGATTAATAAGATTGTTCTTCCGTGCTCACGAAACGTATTCGATTGGATCATGTTTTGCTATTAGACAGTTTCATTATGCATAATTAGCAGAGAGATGAACCATTGTAAGAGTGGAGATTTAAAAGGAAAAATATATACCGTCTGACTCATCATCGACTCGTGTCACTGAGAAAAAATCAGAAAATTCTAGAATACCATCAATTGTTCCGCGGATTCTGGGTCAAGTACTGAGCCGCGGCGAGTCTCGAACCTTGTTTCTCATACCTGGCAAGGTTACCGAGATCGCGGCCGGATTCCAATAAAAGTTTGGCGAACTTTCAGCCATTAGGAATCATTACTATCCGCTTTTGTTCGTCGCATAGTTTCCTTTTTCGTTGAATGATTCAACCGGGAGAGTAGTCTGACCTTCATAAATGATCGGTTCCTTCTCGCGGAAGTAAGAGAGGGCTGGAAAGTTCTTGATTCCGTACTGCTTGGCCAGTCGTTTGTCGTTGATCTTGACGAAGTCGACCCCGAAGTGGTCCGTGTCGTCGTCGATCTTTTCCAGCTCGGCCAGCACCTTGTCGCATGTCGTGCAACTTCTCGCATCTGAAACAGGATTGCGTTCATGGAAAGGTACGTCGAGATGAAACATTCGCGACGGTGGGATTAAAAATGATTCGACGAGGGACACAAGGTCGATCTTTACTTCGGCTCCGATCGGCCTTGGCGACGGCCTTGCGTTACAGGAAAACTAATCCTGAATTTTATGCTTATCGCCGCCGGCTTGGCAGTTCCAAGCGCTCTTGGCCGGCACCGTCTTTGCCCCGAGGACCAGTTACGCGGGTGTTGGGTTACAATGATTCGATACGGAACGGGTCTCCGCGATTTTTCTCGTTCCCTCGTGCTCGGATGGATCGGGATCACGTTTTAACGTCGCGCAGAGAGGAAGAGAAAGAGGGAAACGAGCAAACAGGTGGACGTAGCCATTTTTGGCTAGCGCGTCCTCAGAATAGAGCCACAAAGCCTGCGAGAGGTGGATTCGACTCCCTTCTTCAGTCTTTCTCTTTCTTGTTCTCGTGTTCGATTCTATTTTTGCGTGGCATACCAGGACTCTTGTAAAGGGGAAACGGTGTTTGATTTTACGGGACGAATCACGTGCCTATCTCATCCCTTTATTTGCTTCTTTTGCTTTCTCCCTCATTCTAAAAAGCGATAGGTTTAATCGACGTGGAAGATGGAAGGAAAAAGCGTGTCTAATTAGTTTGCATTCTCTGCAACGAGTCTCTAAAAGGATAGGATCACTTTCTTTTTCCTCTCTTCTTGATTACCAGAGGAGGCATAAACGATGGGTATAGCTCAGTTTTTAAAAATCATTTTATTGTTCTCTCGCTTCGAGGAGATTTCCTCCGCGTAGAACAGAGGAACAGCCGTCTGTGGAAACGATCTCCAACTGATCCTCCCGGTGGTGCAGTCTCGCAAACAAATATAAATAGAGCGACACAAAACAATTCTATTTTTATTTCCTATCGTATCCACCCACCCGTTCCACTCCCAAGTGGATCGTCGAATCGGGAACGAAAAATAAACGATACGCTAGAACCCGATTTCACGCGTAGACCATTGATCATCCCTGCGCATCGCGCGTCCCTGGAAATACGATCGCCGTTCTCAAGGAAATGCCACGTGACGGTGGCCCACTCGAGTAGCGAATAATAGAAGCTAACTACTGTTACGGCTAAATGAGCTGTCGATGCTAAATGGAGCGAGAACCCTCGTTCGGAATTGCATCGGTCGTCCATCACCGTCAATGCCCGTCGGGTCGGGCGATAGGTTGACCGACAGAAGCGTGTCAATCTAAATAGCTCCGGCTAGAAAATGATATCACCGTTCGGGCAAGAATACGCGCAGCGAATTCACGTCGGCCTTGATCATTCCACTTCGACTGGAGAGGAGCTCGCGCCCCGACGTTTCGCGGTCGACATTAAAGAGAGGATACTTGTAATTAGAGAAGTTGCATTTGCAAAACGCAGCCGCAGCGAGAAACGGAGACGACGACGCGACGGCCAGTGCCTAGTTTACGAGCCACTAAAAATACGAGAACCAACGGCCTCGCCGTCCATCGCGACATTTTACTCGTCCGCGTTTTCGCTCATGGATCGGAGAGTCGAGACTTTGGCGATCTATAAGATCGAACGACCGATCGAAAAGAGATCTGAGGTCAGAGATGCGAATATCTATACGAAACCAATGGAAAACGATGAAAATCTTGATGTCAAAATCACATGAATCGAGTTCTGAGGGAGGATGAACCTCGAGGAGATTATTAAAAGAGTTTTTCCTCGCGTAAAGGGTTGAGCGCACAGTCGATGGTTTTATTTATACCGGAAGAAGCATTCGAAGCATATTCTCAGGGTCCTAGCCCGGCTCTAAAGATAGCCATTTAATCGGCCGTATTTCTTGTCACGAGTAGACGCGTGGGTCGCGATTGTGTCGGTATTGGTGAGCCTCGCTAGTGTGAAGTGTGAACTAACGATTTGGGACAACGCGTGGGTGCCTCGAGCTTGTGCCTCGGCTCAGGTAGACCCGTGCATGATCTCTCAAGTCCCATCACGGCCGTTCCAGCACGTGCACCAATTATTATCCTTCAAGCGTACAGGTGTATGCTTTAAGAAATGTTTGGAAATGTAGAACGGATCGAATGAAAAGTACAACGACCTGTACATGGCCGCCACTATAGATTGCAAAATTGTTGAAAGATTTATCAAATTTCTATGTTTAATAGATCCCTGCCTGTTTGAATTCATAGCTTCTTTTTAATGAAGTTCTGACGATTTTATTGCCTCTCACTCGTGGCCATCAAATAAACTCGCCTCCACAGTACGCGTCGGAGTATCACTAAAGTTTAAAAAAAGTTTCAAACCCATTCGATTCTGTACTTTCGGTGAATAACAGCGAAGTGAGAGGAACTCTGTATTATTTTTAAATACCTAAGAGCGACGGGGGCGGAGAGCTTTCATTTTCGCCGGTCAATAAAGTTGTTACAGGAAAAATCAAACAGCGTGCGAGTGCATGATTAAAGTAGCGACGACGTGCTAAAGCAAACACACCGACGCGGCCATCTACTTCTGAATAAACAGCGTTATAGTATCACGTGTATATATAACCGAGCAACGGGAAATAGTTGGCAATCGTTCAGCCGTGCTTATCACTGAATTAGCAATTTTCTCATTCTCACTTTTTCCTGGCAAGCCGGTAATTAAATTAAGTCGCGGACAGGTGGCCAAACGACGTTCGCTAAACAAGAGACACACACTCTGTTTACCTCAATAATTTCCTCTCTGCTTAATAAACAGGAATCATAGATCGTTCACTTTAGATTATTTTAGTGAGACGAATTGTTGATAACTTCTAACTTTCATGGCCTCACATTATTTACGTCTTGTACAAAGGAAGCTTTTCACGCGAAACAATTTTAGAACGTAGTCAAATTTCTGAAAGATGCAACTGTTTCGTGGCTCGACGCTCGGCCTTGGTAGCGACGACGCCTTCAAACGTCGGAAAGCTCATCGTAAATCAGTGCCGCATAACAATGTTTTAGTAAACCTAGCCGATTTCACGTTCGCGACTAATCAGAGTGAAATTCGAAACGACATTTAAACCTGCACACAGCTGGGAAAACGGAACGGTTTATTAGTAGAACGAACGCTGCACAGCAGCCGTCTTCTACGTTTATGCGTCCGATTCGAACCGTTCATTCAATTAATAGTTAATACCGCCATAAATCATGCATAATGAAGCTTTCGCACGGAGAACAGAACTGTTAAGTGGTTCCTCAAAGAGTAATTGTCCCGTTTGTACCACGGGAAGGTACAAGCGAATCTTTTTCTTAATTGACGGGACGAAAAGAGCTCGTCTTTCAGGAAGTCCGAAACGAGGGAGCGCATCTGAAAATACCTGCTCTCGACCGTCTTCCGGTATGCGTCACGGCTCTTTCATAATTGCCTCATCGCGGTTATCCGCGCTGCTGTTAGCTCTCCAAATTCTGTATGAATCGACGATCTGCGTTCGTGAGTTGTGTGTACTTCGTTTCCGAAAATATTTTTACATTCACACAAGAGGATCGTATAAAGATTTTTGTTCGCCACGAAGACGCGGCTGGAAATAGGCTCGCATCTCGAGCTCGTTGTCTGGGTCTCCGCGAGCGAGTCTGCCCCCGGAGTTCATCGGGTGTCGGGGTTTGTCGTCTCGAACCGGGTGTACCCTTCGCACCCGGAGAAACGCCAGGGTCAAAGGTCGCCGAGAGACGATCGGGACGATTCTCGGTCGCAAGGTGGTCGGGGACAGCATGTTTTCAGACGAGACGATAGTGAGAGGCTTGGCGGCAAGCGCTAAAATAACCCGAACGTGTGCTAAAAGCGGCGGCTACCGGAGCGCCGGCCTTGCTGCGGCAAGCTTCAAGAGGCAGTATCGGACTCTCGTCACCGGCGATCGACCAGAACCCCGGCCGCACCGGGTGGCTACCGATAAAAATTCCCGAAATAATAATTCACGTGCTAGGCACCGACCGGGACAGAGAATGTTGCTCGCAGGGAGAAAGAGTTCTCTCTCTGCGTGCGAGGGACTATTTTTACGGGAGGCATCAGGGCCGAGGAAGAGGCGCGAGAAACGTTCCCGACGCGCCGCGTGTATTTTCAGAGTCACTTCGTTACGTCACGGAGAGACGTCGAAGATAGTCGGAGGAAAGAAAAACCTCGTTTTTATTATCCAACCACGACCATCGCGGTAAACGTCATACGTTCCCTCTTCGTGGTTCGTGTAAACATTTTAAGTATCCAAAAGCAACGAACGGTTTTGTTACATTTTTTCAAATCACGTAAGATTTAAGAATCGATGGATCGTTACTCCGAAAGGAATTGTCAAATCGGTATGAAGGATCGGATTTAAGTAAAGAAAATGAACTAAATTAAAGATTCAAAGATGACTGGTTTAGTATGATTTCGTTGGCATGGCTCGATGTCGGTTATTTCGTCTTGTTCGCGTTACGTCAGGCGGTATTATGAAAACGTGATTCAGGGTAGAGTCGCGAGAGGAACGCGGCATACGTCGATATGCGTAACGTACATACACGCCAGGAACAGGTTGTCAACAGATGCATTCGCGAGCCTCTAGCCCTTATTAAATCCGAATATTCTTACGATATACTTCGCTCGGTTTCTGCATTAGAGCGTCAGTCTTCAGCCGTCTATCAACTAATTTTATAATACACCATGGCCAGCTTTCATGCGTCACGACGTCGTGAGTCAGTGGTCGCTGCAGCGAAGTGACCGTCGGATTTATATTCAAATCCGGACGCAACCCCGCGTTTGACTCACCAATTTTGTAATTAAAGAAAGCTCGCGTCCGTTTCTAGACGGTTCGTCCTGCTAGCCATTCTTGGCAAAGGGAAGGAATTCAATACCTGTTAATCGTCGTGAGCGCAATAAGCGCGTAACAATTTCGTTGGTAATTGTCGTCTCTATACGAAAGAAGTATCGTTGAAAAGTACATTTGAATCAATCAAACGGACGAATGCCGAAATAAACACAGCGGTGTACGAATATTCTTCGTGATCACCGCGCACCGTGGCGCTCGATCAACGTCAACGGACCGAGGCGGAGAATTGAAATAAAAACGTTTGCGTGCATGGCTGGTTTCGAAATTTGACTTTTACAATGTTAAATCGATTCGAGCGCTGCGATCATTTGTCTGCGGGGATAGCGTCGGGACAAGGGTTCGACGAGAAACAGGGGCGTCAATCTCCTGCTGGGAGATTTATTTATAACGCACGAACGCGCGTCCCCGCCTCGGTACGTTAAACCGTGTCCGTATTGACGTCTCACTTGTCGCCTTTTGCACGCAAAACGATCTCAATGACGAATCGCGTGCCGCGGTTCTGGCTTTCATCGACACCCACTACACCACTGCCACGGATTATGTAATTCCTGCCAAGAAGAACAACGAAGACGAAGGACGCGCCAAAGGAGAAGAGTGAAATAATCGAACGATTATCAACGATCATCGAAAATCGAAATGTACTTCTTCGAATGATTAGCGTCGATATTCGTCAATTTCGACGAAGAAATAAATCGAGAGCGAACGTCATCTCGGATGCAGTCACTTAATTTAGTTTCTTCGGATCGTAACCCAGATTTCTTTTAGAAGATAAAAAGTTGGAAGAGGATCGAGAGCCAGCTCACGGTAGAGTCGCCGAACCGAGAGGAATGCGAGAGTCAAAAAAAAGAGAGAGACAGAGAAAGTAGAAGGAGAGACACGCATAGCACGAGGTACCGAGGAAGAATTCGCTATGTGCAAAAGGGTTCGAGTTATGGACGGGTTACATAAGAGTCGGTGCCACGTGTCGGCGGACGTCGCGTCGATTTTGCATTCCCTGAATCCACTTTCGTGACACGGTTCCAAAAATTGAAGACACCGAACTATAGCCATTTATCCGGGACCACGTTCCCTCTCGCGTGCAACGAGGGACCTAGCAAAGGAGCCTCTTTCGAACCGAAGATGGGACACTTACACCAGTACACGGCAACAAAATCCTTCTCGTTGAGGAGCCGCTCGAGCTGTTTGGCATTGACTTCCTCGATGACAGGCTCGGCTTCCTTGTGGCCACCCTTGGGCCGAGGCTCGTCCGATTTCGTCTTCGCGACGGCCTCGACGGTGCCCAGGAGGGCGCATAACACCGCTAGCACACCGAGAAGGACGATCGCCTTCGCGTATCCTTGCGGCATCGTCGTCGGCCCGCAGGTACAGCTACTCCTCCTTCGTCTCCGCCAGCACCACCACCACCGGTCGAACCGTACCGTCGAAACGTCGTCGTTCGCCGTCGACATCGCCGCACTGACTGGCAAACCGGCTATTTTTGATTTTTCGGACAGCGCCGCGTCGACGACGGCCACGCCGCGCCGAGCCACCGTTTTCAGCTTCTTCGCTTCACCCCCTGGCGCGCCGACCACGAGGACTGTGTCTCACGTTCGTAGACAGACATAAATTCCCTTTCTTATTTTCTCGTTTAATCCCTGGAGAACGGGTGACTTTCCTTAGTTCCACGAGTCTTATGAAACGCTTTGATCTTCAGCATTTCATAAAAGTGAACGATGATCGACCGATACAATTGATATTATATGAAACTGTGGATTTTTCTTGAGCTTCAGCTTAGAGTTAAAGCACAATATTTAATATGTTAATGTTTAATCGTGTAAGAAGAATATAATATGATCTTTGCGATCATTCCCAGATTCACAGTTTGAAATCAAGAGGGCGTAATGAAATCTCTGATCTCCGCGCGATCGATATTTCAGTTTTCAGTGAAATGAGAAGAACAAGGATTTGCTAAAAAATTCATTTATTTAAGATTCGCCGTGCAGCGAATCCCTGGCTCACAGGGGAGTCTTTGTACAAAGAGCGTCTTTTATTTATACAAAATATGACATATCTATTTCCTAATTTATGTATAGGTATGTACCTGGCTGAGCCTTTCGTTACATCGAAATTACATTCGAAAGGCGGAGTGAGAAGAGATTTCGAAGTCGCGTGTCCGCGAATAATTAATCAATTAATTAATTAAAACGATCAGTCCGTTCACGTCCGCCACACTATCAACCCCGTCACTGTACATCTCCCGCGCGCATGGCATGACGAACATCGAATCAGTGCAGTCTATCTTTTGATTATAACACGTCGTCGTTATTTTATAATTACGCAAGAGTATTATGTACACGATTACTTATCTCGTACCCTATTTACACGAAGACAAACCACGAGTATTTTATTCAGCTATCGAGTTCAAACGTCTGCTCTTCATCATAGACGCGCCGTGCGTTAGGATTCCTGCGAGATTATCTACAAAACGGAAGAAGAACGTTCGCTCCGATTCTAAAACTAAATAAGGCGTTTGCCTATCACGAGATAAAATTGATTGGCACCTTCGAGAATCCCGTCGAAGATCAGTCAACTTAAGAGTCTCTATTTTATACAACACACTGCACACACTGGTATCACACAGTCTATTTATTTATCGCTCGGAACACCGCGAGATTAATACTAATACCTGACCGAATCGCGAGAATGTATCGAGGTATCGTCGTCGGGCGGGTCTTAAATCCTCAGCTCGGCGTCGGTAACTGGAATACCCCTATTGGCACTTTGACTGGACCTTTGCGTGGTGGGTGGCACCAAAGGACTGATACTGGGACTCCTGGTCGCGAGAGGTGACAAGGACGGTGAAAAACTTGGACTTAAGGCCGCGGATGGGAAGGTAGAAGCGTCGTGACTGATCGGGGACCGGGGAAGTATGCCTCTGGCTAACGCGGGGGCAGCTAACGATCTGGGAGCAACGGAAGTGAGCAACGGCGGTGGCGGAGCTTTATGTACAGACTTGGTCTTGCCGCTGCTCCCGGAGTTTCCGCTTTGAACGCTGGCCGCGTCGTCCTTCAGCCTCGCGATCTCGCTGAACACGTGAGCCAGCGGCTGATAATGCGGACCCCAGTCGAGTAAATAGTCCCAATTATACGAACCCGTGAGCTCCTCCTCGCTGTGAACTATCGAACTCAACGAACCGTTCATCGACGGACCACCGGGCACTTCCAATCCGGACATCGGTCTCCCGGATTCACCGATCTTTCCGTAAATCAAAGTCGCGATGTCTGCTTCGGTGGCAGCCTCGTCCTCGAACAGGTGTAAACTGTCGAGAGGCAGAGCCTCCGGTGGTCTCCTCGGTGTACCGGCCGGAGGATCCACGATGCCTAGCCTGGCTAAATATTCCTGAGTATTGTGCACCGACAAATCGCTGGCCGAGTCTCCGGTCTGCTGACCCTCGTTGATCATTCGAATCTCTTCGTCTTCTCCGTCGTCCTCGGCCGATCCTCTGCCAGACGAGCCAGACTGATCACTACCAGACAGTTCCGAAGTGGCCTGTTGCTGTCCGGACTGACCGGAAGTACCGTACGGCGGAATCTCATCGTATTTCGGCGGCGCAAATTGGCACGAAGCCGTACCTCCGGTCCCGTTTCCGTTTCCGGAGCCCCCGTTCCCCGCGGCGCCAACTCCGGTCACGCTTCTGATGGGAATAGTGTCGAAGGCACTCGGGTCCACGTAGCTGTTCGACGCAGTGGCGTTGCTCTCTCCGTTTAGTCCTGGTTTCGTGCCAGGTTTCTTGTGCCTCCGGTTTCGAATGTGAAGATACAAGAAGATTGCTCCGAACGCGACGACTAGTAACAGTAGAGCGATCAACAAGCCTAACGCCCAGTCGGCCAAACCTCCCGTTGCTGCAACGGCCATGTTCGAGCCTACGTTCGTCGGGTTGGCCAAAGCAGTGACGCCACGGGCTTCGTTGATATCGTTATCGTCCGTCAAAGTGATCTCTACCACCGTCATATTCGACAAGGAACCCTGTCTACCGGAACTCGCGCTAACTACCAATCTCGACGATTCCTCCACGTCCATATCGACGTGTATCAATTTTTGCTTCACGATCAACGCGCCCGTGGTACGGTTCAGCTTGAAATAAGGATGTTGAGAAGTTAACTGGTAAACGACTCGACCGTCGGGCCCTTTGTCTCTGTCCGTCGCGGTTACGTGGCCGATCACCGTACCAGGAAGCACCTGTGTTCCGCTCTTGATTCCGAATCTATACATTCTCTCCGTGAACTGTGGATAGAATTCATCTCTGGACTCGATCTCCACGCGAACTCTGACAGCTGCCGTTCGTCCACCGGTATCGGTCGCCCGCAGAGTAAACGCGTATCTGTTTCTCAATTCGTAATCGAAGACCGCACGTGTAGTCACCGTTCCGGACTTTCCGTCCACTGCAAACAGCTTCCAACTGTCGTCGATGTCGGAGAATCCCGTCGCGGCAGCAGATACGATCGAATAGTTCAATGAGCCGAAGATACCGCGGTCCAAATCCGAGGCACGTGCCGAGAACACAGTCGTTCCAATCGGTTCATTTTCTCCAACAAACTCAAGGTATTCCGAGACGGGGAACTTCGGAGAATTATCGTTCACGTCTTCCAACTGAATTTGAAGCTTGGTGACGGCGCATAGAGGAGAAACCGCGTCGCTGTCGCACGCCATGATCACCAACTGATGAATATCCGGCTCGAGGTCGCAGTCTAAGGTCGCGTTCACCAGCACAGCGCCGGTAGTCCTATCCACCCTGAAGAGGCCGGCGTCGTTTCCGGACGTGATCTCGTAAACCAGGCTCGCGGCTGGGCTTCCGACTAGGTCGTCATCCTTGGCGTGCAAAGTCGCCACCGTTGTCCCACGCACCGCGTTCTCTTTGATCGATACTTGGTGAAGGTCTTCCGAGAATCGGGGATAGTTGTCGTTCACGTCTTCTACCGTGATGATCACTGTGACGGGTTCGTCGCCGACCAACGATCCCGTCGTCATGTTTTCATTCTTCGAACCCAGTCTCAAAACGTATCTGAAAGTCGTTCATCATTTTATTAGTCATCGAAATGCATAATATTTCAAGATGAAATTGTTGGAACCGTCTTACCTGTCCTTCGTCTCCCTGTCGAGCATTTTAGACAGAATCAGTTTGCCCCTCGAGACTTCGAACGTTCCGCTGTCATCGCCGGCAACGATGGCACCGTTCAGAAGATCCACGTCCGACAATCGCATCAGAGTGGTTCCCTTCAACGCATTCTCCTTAACCACGATCTTGTACTCCTTCCCGGGCTGTGCGCTCTTTAGGCTGCTAAGTCGCACGACTACGGAGCATACGGACGACGCCGGTGGTTTGCCGTAATCTTCCGCCACGATGGCCAGCTCCACCTCTTTGGGCAGAGGCCTGGGTATCGCGGTACGATTAACCGTCAGAACACCCGTCACGGGATGTACCGAGAAACCTTTGGTGGCTTTCAACAGATAGTATCGTACTCGACTGTTGTCCTCCGTGAGATCGTCGTCGGTCGCGTTCACCGTCAGAATTTCCTGCAGCTCTCCTCTCCCTTCTGAAAAAAATAAAATGATTGATTTTACTAATGCCTCAGAATGATAGAGAATCATTCAAATTGCCTTTAAGTGTAGTTAAAATTTAATAGCGCGAGGAGTACGCGTAATACTGGGATGGAAACGTTGAGGGATCGATCGGCGGTTCGGCAAGCCCGGGACAAAGATCACGGGCGCGAGGTCAAGTACCCTCTGCCTCTTTTCGGTCTAAGGTACGTCTTGACGAGGCAGCCACCACCACCGGGCAGTTGTTTCTTTTCTCGGTAAAGGAGGAGGATAAGCCGTCCTGACATCGGACTGAACGGAAGTATGAAATAATAACCAGTTATATAAATCGCTCGGTCCGAGCCGTGGGGCCAGCAGGACGGCTCCGTGGCGCGGCTACAAAAATCATTTCGATGCGTTTCAAATCGTCGGATAATTCGGCATTAATGTGCCAAGCGTGGACCCAACGCGAGAAGGGAAGACAAAGAAGGAGGGCCGCGAGGAAGAGAGTCTCGAAGAGGAGGAGAGGTCGAAATAAAACACGCCGCGCCGCCGCAGCCATTCGGGGGATGTCCGAGGCGCGGTGGTAAGACAACCTCCGGAGGTAGGGAATCTACCTTAACCGAGAAGTGACAGGTACTCTATAATTATTACGAAGTGCGTATGACCGTGGAGCATGCGTGTTCGCGTCACGACGAATTCTTATTACCAGATTCTCTTCTCCGTCTGTTTTATTAATCCCACCTTTCCCCCGGAACGTATCTCGCCTCTCACGGACAGTTTAATACGATTTTGATAATCGCCCGATTAACTCGTCTTCTTTGTTCGCTAATCGCGATAAATACGGTCCACCGTAACGGGAGAAATTGAAAACAACGTTAAGGAGAAATTAGAGCTCGGAACGGTTCCGACTCTCTTCCATTGACAATCGCCAAGACGTTTATCCCAGAATCCCGTTTCTCACCCCGATCGCCGAGATCTGCGAGACGAGCGACGAGACGGAGACGCGAGCAAAGAAAGAGATGCAAATTCGTGAGGCAGTCGCCGTGGGAGCTCTCCCCTTTTTCGACTCTTTCCACGTCCACCTCCTGCCAATCCAGCCTCCCCCGTAGCCCCTCTGCCGCCCACCCAAACGCACCATTAGGCGCGGGCCTATGTATTTTTAATAAGTTTCGAGAGTCTTCGAAGCCGGCGATCTCGGCCGGCGGTTGCAGCGAACGCGGCTTTTCGGCTGCCTGGCAAACGGTGTCCTCGCGTTTATTTATGTGCGAGGCGTTCGCAATTCTCCCCGTCTCCATTTCTTCTCCCCCGTCGCCCTTTGCCGTTTCGTCTTCGCCATTCCTTTTCATTCGTCTCCTCCGTCTCTCTCTTTCTTTCTCCCGTTCACCAGCTAGCTTTTCATCGAACCTCTCCTCTCGGCTTCAAATTTTTCCTTTTCGTCTTGTTTCGTCCCCTTCTTCTCGCTCTTACCCCTTTCGTTCTCTCTCTCTCTCTTGCTCTCTCATTCCCGCGCTTTATCTTGGCGCGGTGTCAATTCGAGTTTGGAACACGGGCAACAGGACAACGTGTGTCTACTAAAAACCAGTTTTTAAACTCGCGTTTATTTCGCGCGAAGGAACACTCCTCCTTTCCTACCCTTTCGACGCGAGTTCGATGAAAAATAGATGTACTGATAATATACTGATTAGAATTTTTAAAAGACAGCATCTTAGCAATCCAATATAAATTATGAACCCCAATTTCATGCGTAGAATATACAAGGATTCATTTTACGAACGCAATAAATACAATTTGTATAATTCATTGCACCTCGAGATTTATGCCTATGTGGTGAAAGAAAGGGTTAAATAAAGTCACTTACCAGGGAGAGTAGCGATGTAAGCGGATTGCTGGAACCGTGGCACGTTGTCATTCAGATCTTTGACACGGACGATCAAATCTGTGGTTGCCTCATGAATACCGTCGCTGGCGATCACCTGCAGATTGTACTCGGACTGCGTTTCGGCGTCCAAACTTCCTCGCAAAACGACCTTCCCTCCGTATCTGTCGATGCTGAATGGTCCTGGGCTGGTCACGTTACTGAATCGATAGGTGAGAGTCGGCGAGGTATCCACGTCGTTCGCCGTCATGGTCGTCAGCACAGTGCCAACAGCTGTACCTACAATATTTATTCGTTTATTCATTGAAAACCGCGACTTGCTGATGATCATTAAAAATCCTTTGGTTCCTTAAGTACTACTATTCATATTACAATTTGCACGAGCATTCGATTTTCATTAAACACGCGAATCTTTCGTATTTAAATTGATGCCAATTTAATCGTTGACCAGAAATCGTTGAAAATCATTTGGTAAAGGGTCGCGAGATGTGAAAAAAAATGCGACGGTATTAAAAATCGTTCAGGGCAGCATAGGACGTTCACCGTCCAGTTTGCTCGCGATGCAATGCCAGACACCGTTGCCGCTGACGAATGGCGTCGTTACACGAGCCTTTGCTCTTTTTATCCTCGGCCAGAAGCCACTTTGTCACCGGCGGACGATCATTCGCGATACATAATGTAGAGCGAGGCGAGGCGAGGCCTTCCGCGAAGTTAAAGACACTTCGAGGGAGTCGTGCTTAAAATGCATTGAATCCCCGGTTATCGGCACCCTTTATCTCGCTCGTGCTAAGAGGAACAAACATCTGGACCACCGATCTTATGCGATCGCTGGATATGGAAAATCCACTGGTCTCGCCTGATAACTTTTTCAATCCGAAAATATTTGATCGATTCCCATAAAATAGTTTAGAAAATGCCTGCGTCTCTAAAGTATCATGAGTCCATTAATCGAATCGTCTATCGTACAAATTTCATTCTTTATTCAGACAGAAATTGAATCACCGGAAACGCAATTTGTTTTAGGAACGCTATGCATCTTATCCGTTAACACATTTTAGCAATTGGCGAACAGGAATGTACCATTTAGGTATGACTCGGCATTCAAAGGGAAACACTTGAACCGAAAGGGAAATAATAAATTCGCATCGGGTTCCCAGTCGATCTTCGTAAGTTGTATCGCGGTAATTCTGATTACCGGAGGTCCTCGGTATTCGCGGATCGGCTGCGTAAATACCGCGACGTCGTCGGCGGCGTGCTCCTTGTACGGAAAACGCGCTCGTCTAAGGTGGTCTACCATTGTTTCGGATTTCTCGTGTCAGTGCCAGTTTCGGAGCCGATCCGATCGATGCCGTCGATTAAAATCCTCCAAAGGGTAATCGCGCGTGCTCAAAAACAAAGGCGTCGCCGATAAGCCTCGGCATCTTACTCAATTGTCACGGATCTCGTTGATTACACGTTGATTATTCGTACTTTTGGTGGTCGTCCGGTCGACGTTTCGTCGCAGAGGGGACGTGAAACCATAATCGGGTCTATGATAGTAAAAAGGATAAAAGCCGGTAGGCAGCGGTGTTGTAACAAGTGACTGGAAAGGGCATTGCCGGGCATTTCTGTCGGTATTAAATAAATTCTATCGAGTGGCGCATCGCGAATAGAAAAGCGGCTGGTAGTCTCGTTTGCACCGCGGTTAAGTTTTATGGTGATGCAAATTAGATAGCGATCTCGCGTTTCTCTGTTCGCGCGACTACAGAACGGTCTCTCGTCTCGCGCGCTGCTGTGTGTACGAGAAGCATCGGTGCTGCGCGAGAGGAGGAAAAATGTGCAGGAGGAGAGAAACGAGAAAAATAAGTACGAGCAGGTGTACAACGCCGAGGAAAAATATTGTCCCTCTGATATACGTGTTTACTCAGTCTGCAAGACTTGAATCAATTACTTTTTACTACGATACTTATTTCCCGTTTCGTACGGTCTCGCTAACGTCTTCATTGCAGCGACGTATTCATATATATACAGCAGCGCTTACGCGTCAAACTGGAGGCCACCTTCGCTCGGTGCCGTTCCATTGAATCGTATCTGTCAATGGGCGAACAATATGAAACCGAGAAGAACAAACGCGAAGGAGAGAGAGAGAAAGAGAGAGAGATAGAATGTATGTAACGGGGCGTCTCGCAGCCTCGCCTAAGTTATGCAGATTGTTCCGAACAGTTGGACTTTAATGCCGGCATAAATCCTTTGCCACTTAACTTTATACTTCGGGAGTATGCGCTCCCACCACCCTCGACCCCTTCTTTTTGCTCCAACGTTCTTCTTACTTTTTCCTTTCTTTCTCTCACCTCGCGAAGTTCTCCACGATGGACACGCGAAAACGTCCCTTCCTCGCTCGGGATCGAACGAATTTCCAGAATAAAATCGGCTCGTAAATAGTTTACGATTCGGAGAAACGAAACAGAAAACGAAATTGCTCGTTTCCGATGGAATCCGGCCTGATGCCAATTTATTAGACAATTAGGTTAAAGAACAAGGTCGTTACTGAGCGCCAGCCTGGCCATGAAGGGACTAATTGCGCGTTGATATTAAACGGGCGTACACGCATTTGCGTCTGTTCGTAATTTACATGTGCAAGATCGCCACCGCGTCGGGTACTAATAATCGTCGGTCAGCCTTCGACTGTATCACCGAGAATAAACAAACGCAGTAATTGAACTATACGACTGGCGTAATTAACTCCAGCATTTCCTTCTTTAGGCTCGATGACTTTTATACCGTATCGTTATGCTAATTTACAATAATTGGCATTGCGAATCGATTTTCAAAATTATCCATTTTTTTGGGGGGGAACGGAGATCAAATACAAAAGTTAACTCACCTTCGGAGACGGAGATGATACTGTGCTCTGGAAACGTTGGTTGATTATCGTTCACGTCTATCACTCGAATGCTGAGAGCAGCCGTCCCTGTCAGTTGAGGATTGCCCTGATCCGTCGCGATTATCGTTAGCCTGTACTTTTCTCGAATTTCCCGGTCGAGGACTATGTTCGTTCGAACTATCCCGCTGTACGGTAGACTTATCGTGAACGCGTTGTCCGGATTTCCGTCGACGATGTGGTACAAGATCCTACTGTTCATCCCTTGATCCGCGTCGCTCGCCGAAAGCTGCACAGGCGAAATATTCATTTTATATTTATAACCATTTATGTGATCGTTTCATTCTTATTCAATATTCCAATTCTTACCTTAACGACGAAGTCTCCTTTGACGTTGCCTTCTAGTACCGTCGCCGAGTATTGAGTCTGAGTAAAAACTGGTGGATTGTCGTTTACGTCCGAAACCTTGACGACGACTTTCACGTAAGTTTCCAAAGGATCCGGTCCACTGGTCCTGGCAGTCACCGCGAGCACGTGCCTGGAACTGTCTCTAGGTTCTTCTTTAGTTCCTTCCAATGATCTCCCCCACGAATTCGTGCGTCCGTCCTCGCCCTGCTCCTCCACGGGTTTCACCCTCATGTCGGTCCACAGTTCCGCGTCTAATCTCGACGGATCGTTGACGCGTAACAGACCGGTGTCTTCGTCGATGGCGAAAGTACCGAATTCGTTTCCTGACGCGATGGAATACGAAACGTGTTGCCTCCTGCCGTCCGATCGAACCGCCGATAACTGAATCAGCTCGGTGTTAGCGGGAGAATTTTCCTGAACGACGACTGTGTACGAATCATTTTGGAATTTCAACACGGGTGCCAAATCTGCGAGATCTCCGACTTGCAACTCGATCAAACCCCGCGTGCTCCTCGGCGGGTTACCCTTGTCCCTCGCCAAAACTTCCAGATGATACGTCTTCCCGTTATCCTGCGACAAGGACAACGCCGCGGTGACGGCGCCTGTACTCGGGTGTATCCTGAATTTCGGTTTCTCTTGCTCGTGAAGAAAAGAGTAAACGATCTCTCCGTTGAGCCCTTCGTCGGCGTCGGTCGCTACCACTCGCAGGATATTTTTCTCAGGCTGTGTGCCGATGGACACGCGTGCACGGAAAGGGTATTCCTCGAAAACAGGAGCGTTGTCGTTCACGTCGCTCACTCGAATCTCGACGAGAATGCTTGTACTCCTGGCGTTGTACTTCCCGCTGTCCGTTGCTACTACGACGAAGTTGTAAGAACTCTGTCGTTCTCGGTCCAAGGGCCTGTTAAATAACAATTAGACTGAAAACCGTTTTCATAGGAGAACAGGACCGCGTCTCATTCTATCATAAACCGTTCGATTATCCGAATATAGACTCGTTTCTGCAACGCGTGTATCTTTAATTCTGATTTACGGGTCAATAGGCGATTGTTCGGGACGGTGCCGGATTTAAAGGTGGCGCGGCGCGAGTCGCGGGTAGCTTGTTTGTGTGACGGAAGCCTTAATCGCGCACAGCGATCTTGTGTAATCCACGTTAGCCATTACCATAACTCTGCGGATCCTCCACGGCGGCAAGCCGCCGCCGCGCGGTGCCGTTTCGCGTCTTAAATCGCACGAAAGCCGGGGGAGGTTCGCCGTTTTTTTCCCGGTTACCAGCGAGCGAATTTAACGTTCCCGTCGCGGTGAGCTATACGCCTCGACGAATCGCCGTATCGAGAGCTTACCCGGCATAGTTTCGCTTTACCGGACCGCTACCTGACGTTCGACTCGGTCCGCGCACGCTATGCACGCCTGAGCGGCAGGCCACGCGGCCGTGACAACGTCTTTATCGCGCTAATTCTAATCTAATTATACTATCGGCAAATTTTTCGCTCGGCTCGCGAATGCATAATTTCAAACCGATTGAAACCGCCCGTTTAACTTTCAATTGGCCGGGCAACTTTTTCCTGGCATTCCGCGCGGATAAGCGCGGCGATAACGCGGAGTCGCTTGTAATTTATCGCGGCCGAGGACTTTGTCTTTATTAACCGCCCACGAAAGTCACGCGAACTCCGCGAATTCGCCCGATAAGCCCGATAGCGTCTTTGCCGCGCCGCGTGTGCACGTAATAACCTTTAACGAGCGTGGAATAATAATCGAAAGCGAGGCCGGTAGCGCGCGAAATCGACGCGGGTTATTTACGAGTCGAAAGTGAAGTCGCGCCAGACATATCGTTTCATTTACATCGGCCAGATACCAGATAATATTCTTCGATCCGTTAGCCTGAAGAGCGGCTGGACTGGGACAGGGTATAAAAATTTATTTTTTCAAAATTTCGAAAAATGCTTCAAATAAAAATTATAAGTCCTGACGTNGTATAGTATGGTAAACTGTATAGTATGGTACACTGTATAGTATGGTACACTGTATAGTATGGTACACTGTATAGTATGGTACACTGTATAGTATGGTACACTGTATAGTATGGTACACTGTATAGTATGGTACACTGTATAGTATGGTACACTGTATAGTATGGTACACTGTATAGTATTGTATTGCGTACGTATTGTATTGTATACGAATTGCAGAATCTGAAGGCGAATTCGCCCGTCGAAACTGTGAACTTTTAAAAAGACTTTTCGTTTTTCCTCAATAACTCCCGAACGGGTGGTCGTAGGGGGGCGTATTTAGGCTCATTTTGTAGGGGACGACGAGATCTACAATTTCTGTGTAAAAAGAATTAGCTAGTGCCAATAGTTAACGAGTTATTTGCAAAAAACTGTTTTTCTGTTTTTCGCCAATAACTTCCAAACGGATGGGCATAAGGGGATGTGTTTAGATCCATTTTGTAGGGGACGACGAAATCTACAATTCCTATGTAATAATTTTGCGCTAGCATCAACAGTTTGCGAGTAAATTGCAAAAAACCGTTTTTCGTTTTTCGTCTATAACTCGTTAACCATTGACACTAGCGAATTCTTTTTGCACAGAAATTGTAGATCTCGTCGTCCCCTACAAAATGAGCCTAAATACGCCCCCCTACGACCACCCGTTCGGGAGTTATTGAGGAAAAACGAAAAGTCTTTTTAAAAGTTCACAGTTTCGACGGGCGAATTCGCCTTCAGATTCTGCAATTCGTATACAATACAATACGTACGCAATACAATACTATACAGTGTACCATACTATACAGTGTACCATACTATACAGTGTACCATACTATACAGTGTACCATACTATACAGTGTACCATACTATACAGTGTACCATACTATACACTGTACCATACTATACACTGTACCATACTATACACTGTACCATACTATACAC